GCCCCCCCAGGCCTTGCTGGGCAGCACCCGCAGGCCAGGAGGTTGGGGGATGCCAGCCCCCCCGTGGGAGGGCTGTTTGTTTCTTTGGTAACAACTGTGTAAAGCTGGCCCCAGGGGAGGGTACAGCCATGGAGGGATACAGCCTGACTAAAGCCTGTCCAGCTGCAATCTTGGGGATGTTTGTCATTATTCATGTTCTTCTATGCTACCCTGCACTGCTCTGGGTTTGCACTGAGCTTCATCGCCTACTGCTCTGTTGCCCTGCTCTGCCTTTACTGTGTGATTCCATACAGTGCTCATAGGCTGAGCTCCTTGAGCCACAACGAGCCATGGATCAGGCAGTGGTCTCTTCTTGGGCACCATCCTGTGCACATACGGTGCTGCACAGACTACAGTCCTTCTTGTATTGTACCTCCACCACCTAATGTAGCGACTTCCTCCCCCTGTCAAGCTTCTGTATCTGGCAAATGCAGCATAGGGGCTTCACAAAACATCTCAAGGTTTCCAGGAGTTTAAAGACTTGGTTCTTTAAAGAGGAAAGGAGCACATGGAGCAATGAGAAAAGAAAGCAAGTGGAACTAGTGGGCAAAAGAGAGACAGGGCAAGACCAGAAGAGAAACTAGATCCCATTGTAGGACTGAGGTAGAAGAGGTAGGTAGGGTCAAGCTTATGGGAACATTGAAAAGTGTGTAGAAGCCTGAATATAACAGCTATGAAGGTACAGAAGTTCTGTGAGGAAGGAGACTTGAAATGCAAAAGGCAGATACATTTTTCATGAGTGGTGCACACATTCTCCCTCCATGGTCTACATGGGTCCCTGATGAGATATTAGTCCCAGTTTTTGCCTGTCTACTAGCGTGACTCTGTCCAGAGACTTAAGTGAATCTTGGATGCTTCCTTGGGACCAATTTGGATTGCTATAGAGTTTAAGTGGGAGTTAGCCACAAAAGTATGTGCTCTGGTCATGTCTACCCCAGTGTGCACACTGAAGGGTAACTGTGTAGGGTCCACTTGCCAACCTCATCACCAGAAGCAAACTTCCCGTGGCCCAAAGCACACCAAATGGATCCCATATTGGGACAAGAAATGTAAAACCTGCCAACACATCACTACTCCCACAATAACCACATCCCTCAACAGAACCATCTCCATTCCTGGATCTTAGACCTGCCCCTCCAGAAATGGAATATATCTCATCTAGTGCACTGAATGCCCTGATGGAAAATATGTAGGAGAAATCACACAACAACTGCATACCTGAATGAACACACACTGAAAATCGATCAAAGACAAAAATAACCAATTACCTGTGGGTGCCCACTTCTCACAAGACAACCACTCTCCAATCTCTCATTTCTAATTCTCAAAGGGAATTTACAAAACACCTTTCATAGACAAGCCTATGAATTTCACTTCATAAATCTACTGGATACAAAAAATCATGGACTAAATATAGATACTGGATTTATGGCACATTATAACCTGCCTGCCATCTGATAACCCCAGATAACCTGTCTGCATTTTACCAGCTACATTTTATCACCAGGTTAACATTCTCACCTTCCCCCCACAGCTACCTGTCTCACACCTATTGTCTCCCATTCCTGCTGATCCTCACTGCCTCACATTTGCATTTTCACAGACCTGTATTTTGCATGTTGTCTTCTATTCCATCCAGGAGAACACTAAACACCAGCAGACTCCCCCTATGCCTGAAGAGAGGTGTTTGTGCCTAAAAGCTTGCAAAGAACAATTTTTCCAACTATTTAGCTGGTCTAATAAAATATATTACGTTTACCCGAAGAACCTTGTCTGCCTAGGGTCCACCCCACACTTATGATAAGGGCCCTGAATTCTTTTCTGTTTCACTTGGACATTAAAGATCTAAGAAATAAAACCTTATTGGAAAGACCTGCATGCATTAAAGAGCCTGCTACTCCATTTTTCTGCTTTGGAAAGCTGAAGGCCTGAATTGACCCAGCTAGGATCTGAACTTCTGGTTCCAGGAAGTTGACCTATTTCAACATAATAACAACACAATGTATTTTTCAGTATTTATTTCCCAAGGAATTAAATGGCAGGCCCCATATTTCCATCAATTTGACAGATCTCTCCCTACCTGTTTTTTTAAGAAATCTGTCACCCACACAAAATAAAAACAAGTCTAAAATACAGCTGAGAAACTTCCCCTTGACTTGTGACAAACTTCCAAGTGGAGGATTTGCAAATGCTGCAGTTTCTGTGGCTAAGGATGTATTTTACTGAAATCAGAAATACAGTCACCCTGGCTCATCTATACTCCTCCACAAGCCAAGCCAGCGTGGTAACACAGACTGTAACTATGCTGAGCTTGTCAAGGCCCCCCATTGCATGATGGTGATGTTTTAGCATGGCTGTAGTGTCTAGTAAAGAGGAGGGAATTGAAACTGAACTTTTGCACTGGGCCCCAAAAGCTGAACCCTGCTTCTGCAGAGGAGCATTACCAGGGCAAGAGAGTTCCCTCGTCAGGTTTTTCTTTGCTTGCCAGTGCCTTCCTAGAGCAGTCTCTGGAACCGTAGCACCACTCCAACCATCTGAGAGAAGCAGCATGATCCAATGATTAAAGCATAAGCCCCAAGGGCATGAAATACAGACTCTTCTCTGGCTCTGCCACTGACTCACTCTGTAGCCTTTGTAACCTCATTTCACCTGTTTCTGTCTCCCCATTTTTTAAATGGGAGCAATGCTGATCTATTAAACAGGGACACAGTAAAGATTTGTGAGCTGTAATATTCAGTGTCTCTGCATGCACTAAATATTCTTGTTATAGTTGGAGAAGTGATTTTTTCCCCCCTCATTATGAGAAAGGGATTAAAGTAAGATAACTGAGGTTACCAGATAATGGGGTGTATCTGTGACTGGCAATCCATCCGTGGGGAATGCAGAACAGGGTGGCAGTCTTCATCTGTCAGCTGGAAACACTTTCTGAAGGACTGGCTTTTTGTTCTCCCTGTAATAAATGGGGATCGTTCATTCCACCACTTGCAATCCTGCTACATTATGTACCATATTTTGGATCTTTGATGGGTGTAGACATTAGTTATATTTGTCTTGAATGCACTGTGCATCCACATTCTAGCAACTCCAATTACTGCAGGAAATACCTCAGAGCCTTGTCATAACATAATGATCAATATGTTTTAGAAATGCCCATGGAATAGGAATTCAGAATTCTACTCTAATAACGACTGTTCAAATGGTGGCAGGAATATCAGAGAGGTGCTTCACCTGCCTTGAGATGGCATTAGTTTGTATTTGTGGTTGGGTATCGATGTCCAAAAGAGTAAACTCAGGGCATTAATGAGAGTGGAATTTGACCCAATTGATATATCAAGATATGCACAGATCCCCAGGATGAAAATGCCCTGGGGGCACTGAACATGCTATGAACATACAACTTGACTTTAATTTTTCTTACTTTCCCCCCTCTCTAAAGCTAGTACTTTTACAGATGGGATCATTCTAGAAGAACCACATTGGCCTGGACTATGCTAGCGATTCCCAACAAGGATGCGGTAGCACCCGGGGTGTGGGGGGTGCCTTGAGATCCTTTTAAGAGTGCCAGGGGGTGTCATGTAACGTTAGCATTGTGATGTGTGCAAGAATAATTCACAAGATTAACCCAGAGATTTCAAATAGTAATTCGTAGTGTTAAAAACATTCTGACATTTTATGGCCTTTTTGAGTTCTCTGCAACAGAAAAATTGCTCTATTATTTTGCCTTACTCAAAAACGAAGAGCTGGTATTTGCCAACAATGTCTTGAGTGTATTGAGGAGTACCTTGGTTCTTGAAAGTTTGAGAACCACTAGACTATGTGATGTAATGAACATTCACTATATTTGTATTCAGGCTGCTGGCCACAAGATGATGACCTTTGGGTGATAGAGTGGTTTTAGAAGTTAATGGCTGATGAAGGGAAGGGAAATCTCCCACTTTGCGTAATGTCTTTGTGTCAGTTGCTTCTGAACACAGAAATAAGATGTCTCAGCTACCTGCCTTCAAACATGAAAAGGGAAAGGTTTGGTATAAAGGACAAGTTATAAATAAATATTCTGGGGAAACGATATTTTGATATTTGATGAGGTAGCATAGCAATTAAAGAGAAACCAGGAGCACAAGCGGTGCTGATTCAGCCACTAGATTCTGAGTTCCCAGCTAATATTCAGAACGGCTGCCTCCAAAAAGGAGATGGGATCCTGGTCTGTTAGAGGCCAATCAGAAGAATACTGGACGCCTCAGCTCTATATTGGGTACAATTGTGCAGGGGTTTGCCCAACTGATCAAAAATGGAATTTCCATTCTGTAGGAAATCCCAAAATTTCTTTCCATTCCAAATTAAAAACTATAACTTACCACTAACTGTCATTTCCAGAATATTTTGTTTAGGAAACATTGAAACTGCCATGTTGAAATGTGCCATTTTAAGGTCAACATATTTCACGTAGTCTTAATTGAAAGCATAGTGATATGATACAGTTCAAAATAATTCAAAGCGAAGCATTTTACCAGTTTTCCATTAAAAGTGTTGATGAAATTGACCCCTTTGGATATCAGAACATTTTAACTGTAACAGTCGCTTTCTGATAGAAAACTTGACCATCAGAAATGTTGACCATCTGCTATTTGGTTTTATGGTCATTTTAGATATTTCATGTAACAATGAAGGAAGTGTCATAAAATCAAATAGCAGAATGGTACCATGGGATGGTTAAGATTTAGACAGAGAAAGGAAAAGCCTTGGCTTTTTCAGTCCCTGCCCCGCTGCTGACTTGTGATGAGATTGAACAAGTAAATTAGTTACAGTGGACTCCATCATTTGTGGCTGTCTGTGCAATCATGATAAAAAAATGAACTTACTTCAAAAAGAAGCTTGTAATGGATGTTACTATTGCCAGTTTTTTACATGGAAGGTGCTCTGATACCACACTGTTGGGCTGTGGCATAAAACCTTAAGCTTTGCAAATAGAAGCTGCCCCTTGTCTCACCCCAGCTGGCCAGGTGGGCATGTTTGTCATGCTTACCACCTTTGATGGGGCTCCTAGATTAAGTCTGGACAGGATGCTTTAGGCTGACTCTGCAAAAGCATGTTCTGTTTGCTGGTCTGGCTCCTAGGTGTGACACTGACCATCACTGGACATGGCAAACTGTCACCCGCATTTGCCATGTAGCTCATTTTGAAAAACAAACTGAAATGAAATGATCGCTTTAGCAACTGGATACTGTTGTGTTTGGGAATGGAAAAGTCCCTTCCAGTTCGTCAAATTGCTTCTAATTCCACAACATGCCCCTCACAGGCTTTTCGACCCATAACATGTAAACTCCTTCCTATCTGCTTTCTTGGTGGATAGTCTCATGGCGATAGACTCAATTCATGGAGTCTGCTGCAATGTTCTAGTTAGAGCGCCCCAGCATGCTGCAACATCACGTATTCAGTGTCCCATGTTTCAAAACAGCAGTAGGGGCGCTTTAACTAAACTTCATTGAATGAGCTTTAAAGCATGTGTATAGCAGGAATAGCTTTAAGGCACGTGTATAGACACCTATTGCATGTGTACTCATGTACTTATCTGGATACAGAAGGACATTGATTCCTCTGTGTGTCTGTTGAAACATGTAAGTAGTGTGAAATATTTGAATACCTTGCATGGGTATATGTGCATCATAAATGCATACAGTTATTTTAGGAGCCCAGGACAAAGGTGCTGGGGAAGTGGAATGTATTATTGTTCCCCATCCTTTGCAGCTGAGGGGTATTAATAGCTTTCGAAGCTTCAATACATCAGCTTTACAGCCTGGGTGAGTGAAGCATGTCTTATAGCAACATTAGAGTCCAAGACGTAGTTTCATTAAGGTACTTGATAGATGTAGGGCACACCTCAGAAAATGTCAGCTCCTAGTTTTCACTTGTTCATGAGAAAGTGAGAAGCAAATTTGAAAAGACTAACATAGAAATAAACATGCCTATAGTAACTTGCATATGCGGAAAGTACTACAGGTTCCCATAGACTGAATTCATCAGGAACTGATGCACTTTACCTCTTTTGAAACTGCTGCACGTTTTAGCATGGGTACTCCATAAAGACACTTTTTAGCAGCACTTTTGTACCTATTTATATATAGTACAACTATGCATGACATTAGTTCAAAGCCAAAAGGCTCATGACTTACCATACAGTTCATTGGGTTGAGTCAACAGTTTCAAGCCATAGTGACCCCATAACTCAGCACTGCTCAGTATTTGTGTGTACTCCAGATATCCCCCACAAAGGATCCATGCGCTAACTAGCCCCCACTCGTGACTGGACCTGGGTGATCTTGTGGCGAGTCCTGGGATCCTCCAAAAATGTATATGCAAATGAGGCATAGGGCAAGCTGGTCTGGCTCCATCTCATAGAGGATGGGGCCACACTAATCATATGCAACCAGCTGAGAGAAGGGAGGACAGATTCATTTCTTAGTAAGTTGTTTGAGGCTCTGTTTGGTAATGTTCACTTAAGGCTGGTGAAAAAAACAAGACTCATTAGAAATAGGAAGGAGAGGTGCAGCTGTGGGAGTGAACTAGAAATTGAAATGTATGCAATGCAATGGCTCATCTTGACTTTAAAAAGAGTCAGCATTGAGGAAGACTGCATGCAATGGGCACTGCCTAGATAGTGTATTTAATGAGGTGTTCTTGTATGCAAATGTAAGTCAAGGGGCTTTTTCCCCCCGTGTTGACTGGGGGGGGAAGCCTCATCTTAGATTTGAGCAAATATGGTAAATTACCTGGCACAAGATTTTTATGACTTTTTTCTGATTGAATTTCTGAGCACCTAATACTAATTCTTGCCAGAAAAGCAATATAATTTCTCTCTCTCTCTCTCTCTCTCTCTCTCTCTCTCTCTCTCTCTCTCACACACACACACACACACACACACACACACAAAGTTTAAATGTTACTGAAATAAAGCTACTAAAAGCTAGACTACAAATCTTGGCACTGATTGTGAAGTCTTTCTTTTATTCTCTTTCTGTAACGTCACAGGAAACATTTGAGAGAGACTTTCATGTGTACCATTAATTTAATGTCTAGAGGACTTTGTGACTCCACCAAGCCATTTTCTTATCTCTTTTATGTTCCTTTCATTTGCTTACCTGTCACAGCCTCAGATGTGTTCCCTGGTGTG